TTGTAAAGGTTTTTCAAAATATTCAGCACTAAATTATTTACGGGAATTTTGTACATAAACTCAACATATTATTAGCCTTTTCACTGTGGGAAAAAAGTACAATCCCCGCAGTGAGAGCATCAGCTACATCCTCATTGGCCTGGTCGCTCTCACACAGGTCGCGGCTGTTCCTGTCGATGTCAGTATTGTGTTCTGTGTCTTTGTCTTGGTAAGTACACATCAAGTACTGAAATTTTTTGTTTTCTGTTTTCTCCAGACCGAAATTTCCCCCAGTTACCGTACCATCTCCGATGTGATCCATGTCCGATTCATAGCAGATCCCAGACAAGTCGAGCACGGACCCAAACCCAAACCCAAACCACTTGACCGTCGAGGCGGAAACCCGATCGCCCAGGAGATGAAGCTAATCATGGAATCATACCGAAAACACATACACATCACGACCCCCTTTCAAATCGATTATGACAACTCCTACAGCGCTCCTGTATCCTGGAATCATCATGATTTCATCTTCTGGGGTGAAAATGTCGGGAAGGAGTGCAAAGAGAGGGAGGATCCGTACAAGGGAAAGAAGGGATGTAAGGTTGTGTTTCGTGGAATAGGTGATGATGAATCTGAGAAAATCGATGCCGGGGAAGAGTTGGCTACTGTGTACTTTGATAGTACGAAAGAGTTGTTTACGGTGCATTATGATATGTGGCATCAGGTCATACATACTGTAGGGTTGTAAATTTCTTTTTTGCAAGCCAGTTGAACTTGCCCCCCTCCCCAATTTTGCAATTTTGCAATTTTGCTATTACATAGCAGTGTGTGTTTGCGTGAGGGAAAATATCACATTCGATCTACTAGTATGCGATCCTCGTCTTGGCTTGGTGAAGTGAAGATAAACGGTGAGAGACGAAGCGAGGGCCCGGGGGTTTGGGTTGCAAACACATACTAACCGTGTTTGGTCGCCCATGTTCTCGCTTTCGGAGTTCACAGCGTGGGTTTTCGAGCATCTCTCGAGCATGTATACATGTTCATTTATTGTACCCACAGTTGGTTTAACTTTGGATAATACACATGCCAAAGGACCCGGCAAAAGGGTCAACCCCACTGAACTTGATTGAACCAAATCGGCTTATTCAACGGGCTCCGACTCAATGATATTTTCCTTAGTCGTGAATGTGTTACATACATATGCTTACCATCGCAAGGCTTTTAGCATATCTCCAAAGCAAGAGAGATTCGGAAGAAGAGCAGGAGGTGGAAGCACCTCAGACAACGGGAGTCCAGGGGATCTGTTTCAATTTTTTGTTTTTGCCTAATAATTCCGTCAATGTGCCAGTAGGTCGGGGAGAATTTCCATGCATCTCCAGATGGAGATGTATCGTTTGGATTGGGGAGAGATTTAGGGAGAGAGAGGAATGGGTGTTTGGATTGTAACCAGATTCAATAAAATGGTATGTAGACTCGGAGAGCGTGGACGATTTCAACGTCGTGTGCTGCGTATTCGAGGTACATATTCGGAGGATAAGGGTTGGATTAGCCATGTTTCGTGATCAATTAGGTGTAACTCTGGGGGTGTATTATGAGTAAATGTGAACAAGGTTCGATGGGAACAAGGGTTATGATTCTTGATAATTATTCAACGCAATTCTCTCGTCTCGGTATCAGATGACATTATTTGTTTCAGAAATTGAGGGAGTTTCCACGCAAAAAGATCAACCATCAAAAAAAAAAAATACGCGATTCGACATATACATATAAAAAGCAAAAAAGTTTTCTTGTTTGGTTTCGAAATCCCGAGATTATTTTCCGTAGACTGCTGGCCAGTCACGTCGTTCAATCTTCTTAGTCTTCGCGATCTTTTCCTGTACGCGACACGATGCTCTTCAGTATCAGCTGTGTGCTTCTCGGTCTCATCGCTGTAATACATGCGATTCCTGTCAATGTGAGTATTTGTTTCTTTATCGCTTTCTTTTTCTTTTTCTTCGTTGCCAGTGGGCGGCGTTGTAGGCATCGAGGACTCATCACTATCTTCTCCATAGTCCGGTATCACTTCAAATCCAAGTCCATGTCGACAAACATCTCCCTCACACCCATCCCGCGCGGTCAAGTCCAAGTCTCTCTTAGATCCTCGACATACACATCCACATCCACAACCACACTCAGAACCACTTCCCACGGACGAAATCTATGTCGGGTTTGTTCGTTCAAAATGCAGAGGAACAGTGACAGGATGCGAGGATGCAAGGATCAAGAAAGAGATCACCTTGATTATCAAAGGGTATTGACGGCACTTGAACATCGGTAGAACGTTCGAGATATCGATCCATGGAGAATGTGATTGTGATGGAATACACGATAATCTTCATCATTTTATTTTTTGGGGTGAAGGGGTGGGTGGGGATTGTGAAGGGGATCATACCTTTTGCAAGGTTCAGTATGATAAGCCATTTGCATTATCATCCACGGTGGATGTGGATCCAAGAACCCACCTGGCAGATATCTTGGCTGAGAATCAGAAGGGTGACAAACATGTTGTTTTCGGTGTGACATATGCGATACGAGATCATGTGTTGAGCGATTCAGAGTTGGATGAGACATTAGCACCGGTTGAGTTTTTTTTTTACTGTTTTTTTTACCTGTAATTGTTTATGATTATTCTAGCTCTGCCCAGTTATGTGAAGAATTACTACAATGTAGGGGAACCATGGTACGGTATGTCTTGTATACTTACAGGCTCTTGCTGGGAATTGGATACAGTTGCTTCAAGGTTTGTATTCAATTGGCATGGAATGAACTCATATGACACGTTAGTGGACTACGGTAAACTTCATGAACTGCAAGAAAGCGGCTAATTCCGTGGGTTGCTCAGTAAGCTCATTCTTTGTTAATCGATCCTTCTCATCCTCTGTAAGTGCAGGATGTCGTCCATGTAGAATTTATAAATCTCTGTCAATACAGGTGGGAGATAGGTACTAAGTAGTACCATGGATCACCATGTCCCGAATGCACCCCTTAATCTACAAAGCGGTTGTGTTCAAGAGAAAGTCTGCAGCGTATCAAAGCCGCAATATCCATCCAGAGGCCATCCAATTCATAGATGACATTTTACTTCAAGTTGAAATGAGCCTGTTTCAGAAATTGAGGGCTTTCCAGGCAAAAAGATCAACCATCAAAAAAATACGCGACTTATTTATTTAACATATAAAAAGCAAAAAGTTTTCTTGGTTTTGGGATCCGAGATTATTTTCCGTAGAACTGCTGGCCAGTCACTACGTCTTCTCAATCTTCCCCACTACGTGACACGATGCTCTTCAGTATCAGCTATGTGCTTCTCAGTCTCATCGCTGTAATGCATGCCATTCCTGTCGATGTGAGTTTTTTTTGCTTATCGTTTTCTTTTTCTCTTTCTTCCGTGCTACTAGTAGTGGGCAGCGTTGTAGGCATCGAGCACTCATCAAAGTGAACAGACAGCTCCTTCACACCCTCCTCCCCACGCAGTCTCGCTCTTGGATCCTCGACGTTTACCACCACCACCATCACGATTCCCACCACAACCTCCCAGGGACAAAATCTATCTCACGTTTATGTTTGGGACTCAACCCACAGGGGACTCAGTCCCACTGGTGATCGAGGAAGAGATCACCTTGATTTTCACAGAGTACCGACGGCACTTGGACGTCCATAGTAGATCGTTCCGGTTTGTATTCCGGAATGGTTATGATGGAGATATACATGATAATCTTCATGATGTGATGTTTTGGGGTGAAGGGGTGGGTGAGGATTGTCAGACGAGGCGTGAGCCATGTAAGGTTCAGTATAATGATCCAGTACTAGTTCCGAGCGTACCAGTGCGCCCAGACACCCACCTGGCTACTGTCTTGAGTGATGTTGCGGTGACTGCTACTACGGCTGTTCTTTTCAATGTGGGGTATGCGACATGAAATTGTGTGTCAAGCGACGTGGGACATCCAGTGCCAGTGTCGAATGAGAGATCAACATCAGTGGGTTTTTTTTGGTGATATACTAAAGCGTGATTGAGATTGAAAATTGAATCATTGTTCTAGCTCTGCAAAGTTATGTGAAGATTACGATGACGATGGTAGGAGGTTGGGGTAAATAATTATTTCTACTAAGGGTCGCAGTTAACGACCCGGACAACGCCCTTGGGGACTTCTATTCGGATTGATGAATGATTAAAATTAGAGTTAGGTTAGAATGACGGAATGACGTCAACGACGTCATTCTCCCCCAATTTTCTGTTGATTCCTAGTTACAACCTTACGTCCCTTCATTTCCCTTCTCATACAAAACTCCAAAGCGAAGAGGAAAGAGTTCCCACTTGCTTCTTCTCCTACTCGGTCATGTCCCATGTGATTTGATATGGATTTGTCAATGGAAGTAGACTCTGGGTGATTTTCGTATTACATAGTGGTAGTAACTGTCATCCTGGACTTGGTCTTACATATCCGACTGACCTTCTCCCACGGAAGTTTCCCGTTGAATCTACAAATACCAAGTATTATTCCCTTTTCATGAAAAAAAAAAGAAAAAAAAAAAAGAGGTAAAAGTTAACAGCGCCATGCATTAAGAGGGAATCGAACCCCCGGCGGGTCGAGACTTGAATTGGTGGCCACTGGCAACGACCCAGGTTACCACTACCCCATTAATGCGCGTTAAGTATGGCACAATCGCACAATCGTGTGTACGTATAATCCAAACTTCCACTTGAATCGCAAGGACATGGTTCTAACTTCTAAGTAGTATGGATTTTCGAAAAACCCATCAAGATTCAATCAGAAAAAATTAAAAAAATATATATTGGACTATGCCAATGAGCTACAGCCTACAAGTACTTATACGATTATGGTGGGGGCTACTTTTACCATCCTTCTCTCACTGCTCAAATTTCTGCTCACGGTCACCTTTGTTGCCAGTTGGAGATTCCACATTTGGTATCTATCTGTGTATGTATGTATGTGTGTACTTGTTTTGTTTACAGTTTACAGTTTACAGTTTATGGTGCATTATGATATACTTACGGTGCATTTATGATATACAGTGCATTTATGAAATATATGATATATAAGTATATAAGTATATGATACACGGCCATCAATGATCAGGTGTTTGTTTACAGGGCGAGCCTGTCCACCTAGAACTAAAACTAAAACTAAAACGGGTGTGATTTTTTTACAGTGTAGACTGAAAAGAAAGGAAAGGAAATGGGAACCGGGAAATCGAAAGCCGTTTTTCTAGTATTCGCGTGAGAAAAACCACCTTCCCACCCTCCTTGACTCCGAGTCCTTCTCTTCGCATTAAATCATCAATCACCAAATCACCGATGATTAGAGGGTTACAATGACGTCAACCAACGACGAACGACGTCATTCTCCTCATTTTTTGTTGATTCTCAGTTGAAAAACGTTACGTCCCTTCATTTCCTTAGCATACAAAAATCCAAAGCGAAAAGCGAAAGGGAAAGGGAATCTTGTTCCCACTGATACTCGTTGCTTGCTTGTACTCGTTGATACTTGCTTGCTTGCCTGCTTGCTTGCTTAATACTTGTCTTTTGGACACTTCGATACTTGGTCGATACTTGGTCGATACTCCAAGCTATACCAAGCTATATACCACACCCAACTACCAACACCCAACACCCACCCAACATCCATCCAACCACAACACCCAAACACCCAACCAATGTCCCCCTCTCTCGGAATAAGCTCCAAACTGAGCAAACTCCTCCCTTCTCGTAAACGAGACCCTTCTGAGACGAGGGACAAAGAGAAGGAGAGGAAATCTAGGGATAGTACTCGTACGACTCCGAATTTGACACCGACTCCGAGTACCACTACGGCTACGACTACGAATTCGAACCCAAGTCCTACTACGAATTCGACACCGACTCTGACGAATCCGAATCCCAGTCGAGGTGAAAGCCCAGATGCTAACAACAACAACAATACCAACAACAACAATTCCGACCAATCAACCCTCCGAGTCCAACTCCGACGTGCCCAATCCAGCCACGCGGCTGCGATGAGGGAGAGCGAGGAGGAGAGGAACGCGTATGGGGAGATTGATTGGGATTGGGAGTATGAAGAAGAAGAAGGGGGAGAAGAAGGGGGAGGGGGAGAAAATGAAGGAGGACAAGGAGGAGGAGGAGAACAAAAAGGAGAAGGAGGACAAGGAGGGGGAGAAAGAGGAAGAGGAGGACAACGAATCCAAACCCTCTCCTCAGCCTCATACTTAGACCAAACCATCCACATCATCGCCCGTATCCACACCATCCGAGCCGTTTCTTCTTCTCTTGTGTTTATTGTTTTCAGACAACAGCTTGATACCATACAGGGTGTTTTGAGTGCCACCCCAGCTCCGAGTGCAACTCCAGCTTCAAATTCTTCGAGTTCAACTCCCCCTCCTTCCCAGAACCCTCCTTCTTCCCCTCCTTCCCCCCCACCCCACATGATCCACTGGGCCTCCCGTCTCCACCCCGAATCCATCGTACACGTCAAAGCCATCGTCCAAAAACCCCATCTCCGCAAAGGTGGAGACCGAGTGGAAGGAACGTCAGTGCATGATGTGGAATTGAGAGTACTAGAACTACACGTGCTGAGTCGCGTTGTGGAGTCGGTGCCGTTTACGGTTTATGATGCGGATATTAGTGCGGGTGCTGCGGGGGCGGGTGTCAATGCGGATAAGGAGAACGAGGATGACAAGGAGGATGGGGATAAGGAGGATGGGGACAAGGAGGATGATTATGAGGACAACGACGACAACGACAAATCAAAACCCTTAACCCCCTACATCCCTGACCGATCCCGAATCGCCTCCCGAATCATCCACCTCCGTTCCCTCACCGCCCAATCCACATTCCGTATCCAATCCACCATAACCACCGTCTTCCGCGCACATCTTGCGGATTTGGGGTATGTTCCTCCTGGGTTGGATTTCAAGATGAGTTTAGAGGGGGAGGGAACGAGGAAAGGGGGAAAAGGGAGGGAGTTGGAATTATACGCTACGCCTTTACTGGAGATCCACACCCCCAAACTCCAAGGCGGGGCTTCTGAATCCGGAGCATCCGTGTTCAAATTGAAATACTTCGGAAGACTAGCTTTCCTCGCTCAATCCCCCCAACTATTCAAACAAATGTCGATCGCAGCAGACTACGGAGGTGTATACGAAGTAGGACCGGTGTTCAGAGCTGAGAATAGTAACACCAAGAGACATTTAACTGAATATACTGGGTTGGATTTGGAGATGAGGATAGAAAGGGATTATCATGAGGTTATGCTTGTTGTTGATTCGGTGTTGAAAGCGATATTTGAAGAGGTTTATAGGAAGAGGAGGAGGGAGGTGGATATTGTCAAGGCTCAATTCCCCACTCCTGATTTGGTTTGGGCACCGAAAACACCGGTTATTGCATTCGCTGATGGGATTCAGATGCTTATTGATTCTGGTTGGAAGGATGATTCTTCCTCCTCCCCTTCTTCCTCCTCTTCCTCACCACTCCAAAAAAACCAAGACCTCTCCACCCGCGCCGAAATCCAACTAGGTAAACTCATCAAACAGAAATACAACACAGATTATTACATCCTCGACCTCTTCCCTCAATCCGCCAGACCTTTCTATACCATGCCTGCGAGTACGAAAGTACAGAAGATGATGGAAGAGAAACACGGGGAATCGTTAGGCGGGACGGTGACGAGGTCGTTTGATATTTTTGTTAGGGGTCAGGAGATTACGACTGGGGGTCAGAGGATACATGATTATGAGATGTTGGTTGATGCTATGGCTGAGAATGATATTAGGTTTGTCTCTCCCCCCAAATCTATTTATTTATTCATTTACCTATTTATTTATTTATTTATTTTTATTCAGCGCCCGTGGCCTAGAAGAATACCTCGACGGCTTCCGCTGGGGCGCACCTCCCCACGGCGGAGCCGGTATCGGTCTAGAACGACTATTAATGCTAATCCTCGGTTTGAACGATATCCGAAACGCTAGTATGTATCCTAGAGATCCGAAGAGTCTACCTGAACCACCGAAGGCGTTGGAGGGGATTAGACATCCGGAGGCTGATACGTTGGTTTGGGGGTCGAGGACGATGATGGGGATGGGGGCAGGGGCAGGGATGGGGGCAGGGGTGGGGATGGGGATGGGGATGGGGAAGGGGACGGGAGTGGTAAAGTGTATTTGTCAGATCAAGGGAAGTACAGATCCAGCCTCGGGATCGACACAGGAGTTGGATGGATTATTGGGTCTTTCGGATTTGTCGTTGCAGAGTGCGACTACGGTGACTGGAGGTGGGAGTGGGACGGCTACGCCTGCTACTGTTGGGTCTGTTGTCACGACGGGTACGACTGGGACGACTGGGACGACTGGTACGACTGGGACGACTGGTACGACGGGTACGGCTGGTACGACGGGAAGTAAATCCCGACACCCACCACACCATGTTCCTTCTCCGTTGTATCAATCTCTCGTTGCTGGACAACAGAGTCAATCTGGAGTAGGTTCAGAAATAGGATCCGGAATCGGTTCAGGAATAGGAATAGAAGTAGGATCCCCCTCCCTTTCCCTTTCCTCCTCCCCCTCTCCCTCGCATTCCCTCCCCCCTCTCCCATCGCTAATTGCAAACTACGGAGACGCAGCGAACACGTCTTGGTTGGATGATAGGTATTTGGTTTGGAGGGATGTTAGAACTGGTGCAGCTGTTGGGTGAGTTTTTTTTTTTTTTTTTTTTTTTTGCGTTCTGAGTTTATTTATTCACTTAATTATTTATTCACTTAATTATTTTTAATTCCAGCTTCGTCCCATCCTCATCAGGGTTCGCGATAATCGTTGGTGATCCGTTGTGTGATAAGAGTCAGACGGCGAGTGTTCTTACTAGGTTTTTGGCGTGGTTGAGGAGAGGGGAGAAGGGCAAGGGGAAGGGAGAGGGAGGGGGAGTGGGAGTGGGGGGAGAGGGAGATGATGATAGACATTACCTTGGGTACGTGGAGAGGAAGAGGATAGGTCCAACTTTTGGTGCCAACGATGACGAAGAAGGAGGTCCTACTACCACTTCTCCTACTTCTCCTACTTCTACCTCTACCCACCTCCCCCTCGCCCACCCCAAACCCCTCCCACCTCTCAAACCCATCTGGCTCCTCGCCTCCTCGCACCTCGAGACCGTCCTAGGCTCCCGACTCGGCTGGTCCTCCTTCACCTGTATCGCCGAATCCCGAGTCGAGTTGGAGGGAGAAGTCCCTGGTGCGTTGGATGATAAAGAGGTTGGGAGAAAGATACGGAAAGCTGAGAGTGAGGGGATCGAGGTTGGGGTGTGGGCTGGTAGGGATGGGTTTACAGAAGGTGAAGGACAAGGCAGGGAAGTGACTATGAACGAATACGACATGTTCGACCAAATCCACATCGCTGATACCAATACCAATACCAAAGCCATGTCTCTTCAACTCAAACACCAGATTGATGATAGGATCAAAGAATGGAGAGAAGGGAGAAGGAAGAAGGGTGGTCAGGTTAGGTTGACGGAGGTGGAGGTTTGGAGAGATAGTGTGCATAGGCAGTATTTTGTCGCTCTTGCTCCGAGGAAGAGGGGGGAAGGAAAGGGGGAGGAAGGAAAAGGAAAAGAGGAAGGGGAGGGAGCGAATGATAAAATCCCAGTAGC